ATTTTCATTTTGAAAACCATCTGCAGATGGCTGAGTTGTGCATTTGTGCTGGTTTTCAATACCTCTAATGGAGTGTTTACTTTAAGACCATGCAAAATAACCACTGCAAGACATTTTCTAGGAGGATGTATGCCAGATTTCACTGATTAGGTTCAATGGCTAAAATGTCTTGTATCACTCATCAGTATTACCAAACTACTTTAGAAGAATTCATTGTTTTGTATCACTGAAAGGTGCAATAGAAACTGCATATCAAAGTTACCTTTTTATATGTATACTCAGATAATATTTTTCAAAAAGAATTGGATCCTGACCTTATTTCTGATGGGAACTGCTATATACAAATATATAGTGCCATACTCTTAAGATCTGACACTGAATATTTTGTGTCATACCCAAGGACATTTATCTGATTAGCAAAACACGTTGGCAGGCAAGAAATTAATAATTGCATGCATTGTATCCAAGCACGACAGCCGCCCTCACCAGGGGCACTGATTCTGGCTTCTCTGCTCCCAGCCAGCTGACAACTCCTCATATATGACAACCTGCAACCATCTGGACTGAACTGGTACAGTGTGTTACTAGACTGGCATATCGTACAATTACTCTCACTAAATACCACATATTAAATGCCATCTGCTTTGGCATGGAGAGGTTGGAGGGAACGTAGAAGGGGTCTTAGGGTTGGAATGGTATATTACTATGCACTATTGGATTGAACTGTACATAATTAAAATATATTAATAAATAAATCAATTTAAAAACAAAATCAGCCAAAATCCTGCAGTTTGGATAATGTCTGGGGGAACTTGCTGACAAATGTCAAATGAACACATATGAAGTAAATGAATATAGATTGCAATCACTTCTTATTATGTACGGAATAATTTACAACAGGTGTTAAATTATTAGAAAAATAATGCACACCCAAGGTGGCCGTTACACCTCAGGTGTGCATTATTTTTTTTCTAATAATTCAATGGCCTGGAGTCAATTATTCCACTTATACGACAGTTACCACACCTCAAAACATTGTTCAGATGATGCATTTCAAGACCTTTGTCAAGTTTTTGTCATTAAAACGCTCTCGTATGTAGGACTAATTTCTGACGCAACTGTAATGCGGTCAAGACCTGTCTAGAACTACTTTAGCTGTGCGTCTCCCAGAAAATAACGCACACCTTAGAACGTTCGTCAACCAATCATATTGAAGCATTCAACGGCCCTGTAGTAAAAATAGATATATACACTGATCAACTACAATATTAGAACCACCTGCCTAATAGCGTGTAAGTTGTACTGCCAAACATTTCTGATGTGTCGAGGCATGGTCTCCACAAGATTTCTGAACATGTCTTATGGTATCTAGCAAATCTGCAAATTGTGAGGCAAAGTCTCCATAGATCAGATCTGTTGTTCCAGCACATCCCACACATGCTCAATCGAATTGAAATCTGGGGAATTTGGAGGTCAAGACAACACCTTGAGCTCTATGTCATGTTCCTCAAACCATTCCTGAACAATTTTGTGTGGCAGGGTGCATTATCCTGCTGAAAGTGGACACCGTCATCAGTAAACACCATTGCCAAGAAGGGGTGTTTGTTGCCTGGAACAATCTCTAGGTAGATGGTACATGCCAAAGTAACATCCACATGAATGCCAGGACACAAGTTTTCCCAGCAGAACATTGCCCAGAGCCTGCCTTTTTCCATAGTGCATACTGCTGACATCTCTTCCCCAGGTAAACAATGAACATATACCCAGCCATGCACCTAATGTAAAAATGTAATTCATCAGACTAGGCAACCTTCTTCCTTGGTCCAATTCTGACACTCACATCCCCATTGAAGGTGCTTTCGGCAGGGGTCATCATGAGCACTCTGACCAGTTTACCACTACTGGGGTGTTTGTTGCCTGGAACAATCTCTAGGTAGATGGTACATGCCAAAGTAACATCCACATGAATGCCAGGACACAAGTTTTCCCAGCAGAACATTGCCCAGAGCCTGCCTTTTTCCATAGTGCATACTGCTGACATCTCTTCCCCAGGTAAACAATGAACATATACCCAGCCATGCACCTAATGTAAAAATGTAATTCATCAGACTAGGCAACCTTCTTCCTTGGTCCAATTCTGACACTCACATCCCCATTGAAGGTGCTTTCGGCAGGGGTCATCATGAGCACTCTGACCAGTTTACCACTACTTTGTGATGCACTATGTGTTCTGACACCTTTCTATCATGGCCAACATTAACTTTTTCAGCAATCTGAGCTACATTAGGTCTTCTGTGTGATCAGACCAGATGGGATAGCCTTTGCTCCCCACATGCATCAATGAGTCTTGGGTGTCAATGACCCTGATGCCAGTTCACTGGTTGTTTCTATCTAAAAAGAAAACACACGCATAACTTGTGTGTTCACTGAGTAATGAGTATAATAATAAGGATGGAAAAGACAAGCTTAGGTTTTTGGACACAGAGTGAGAGTAGACCAAGGAGGTTAGAAGAATAGAGGTTATTTAAGTACAGACATGTACAAAGCAAACAGGGAAACAGGAAATAAGGACTGAGGGCACTCACACAGAGAGGGTGACAGAGAAATGCAGGTCTATGGTACTCACAGGCCAGTAATGAGCAGGACAAAATTACTACCATGACATGACTACACGTGAAAGCCATGGACGCATCAGTAGCTTCCAAATAGAAATAACAGCAATGCATAACTCAAATATCAGATTCCACCTAAGCAACATGTATTTACTACATCAACGGCTACATCAGAGTATGTGGGTCAATTTAATATTTACATAGTTACATAGTTACATAGCTGAAAAGAGATTTGCGTCCATCAAGTTCAAGCTTCGTCACATATATTTTGAAATATGATTTTTTGAAATATATTTGAAATATTTAGATTTTCCACTTGATTTCATATCTAGAGTTGAGCGAACCCGGACTGTAAAGTTCAGGTTCGTACTGAACATTATGTTTTTTGGACCCCGGACCCGAACACAGACATATCACTGTATGTTCGGGTTGGAGTTCAGTGTGCGGCGATTTAATGGTGCGTTTTAAAAGGCTGCAGGGCAGCCAATCAACAAGCATTTGACTCGTGTGCCCTTAGAAGCCATCACAGCCATGCCTACTAATGGCGAGGATGGAGAGGATGCTGCCGCTGTGAGACACAGCTTAGGAAAGAATTCTGCAGACTAGTACATTAGTGGGGTGCTCTTCATATCTGAGAGTCAAATAGAAGAGTCAAATAGTGCGCTTACAGCGCAGTTGTAAACATTCCTATTTTCTGGGTGCTAATCTGCTAAATAGTACATTTTGGGGCGTGCTCTTACATTGGAGTTTTAAAAAGTCAATTTTCTTTTGGTGCTAAATAGTATATTTGGGTGCACTTCATATCTGAGAGTCAAATAAAAGCTTCAAATAGTGCACTTACTGCGCAGTTGTAAACATTCTAATTGTTTTGCTGCTAATCTGCTAAATGGTACATTTGCGGCCTGCGTTGCACTTCATATCTGAGAGTCAAATAGAAGCGTCAAATTGTGTGCTTACTGCGCAGTTGTAAAAATTCGTATTTTATGGGTGCTAATCTGCTAAATAGTACATTTTGGGGCCTGCTCTTCATATCTGAGAGTCAAATCAAAGCGTCTAATAGTGCGCTTACAGCGCACTTGTAAACATTCTAATTGTTTTGCTGCTAATCTGCTAAATAGTATATTTTGGGGCATGCTCTTCATATCTGAGAGTCAAATAGAAGCGTGTAATAGTGCGCTTACTGCGCAGTTGTAAACATTCTAATTGTTTTGCTGCTAATCTGCTAAATAGTACATTTGCGGCCTGCGGTGCACTTCATATCTAAGAGTCAAATAGAAGCGTCAAATTGTGCGCTTACTGCGCAGTTGTAATACTGTTTCACACCTACAACACTTGTTACACAGATCTAAGTGATAGAAAACAGGCTAATATTTTCTACACTAGAAACTACCAGATAACAAGCTGCTATATTTAAACCAGTTATCAATAGCTAAGAGGTACTTATACAATATTGTAATTCTGGGCAATACCCTCACAAGCCAAACTGAGAGGTCAGTTTATAGGGAAAACTGTTGCTTGGATACAATTCTAAAACAATTTCCATATGTCCTTTGCAGACTTTACATACTGGAAAAACACAGGTGCCAACTGCTGTGGCTTTCTGCAGTGTGCATACCGGCAAGGAGGGCAGGGTTGAGGAGTGGGTGGAAGATGATGTGGAGGATGATGAGGTCCTAGACCCCACATGGAATCAAGGTCATGTGAGTGACGTGTGCAGTTTGGAGGAAGAGGCACTGGTCGCACATAGGCACCAGCACAGCATAAGAGGGAGCAGGGTGCAAAAGCGGAGCGACCGTCCCCTACCGCTCGTCAGCATTTATTAGTTCGCGAAATACCAGTTATCCAAGTAATACATGTAGCGATCAAAGGATCCATAATAGAGTTGGGCGAACCCAAACTGCAAAGTTGGGTTCGTACCAGATTTAACGATCCATTCGTAGTTTCACAGTTAGGTGGGCAGTCCGGTGACCGGGACCCAGACACTGTCTGGGCAGCGGTTGGACGACCGGCACCCAGTATGCCTGATGTTGAAGTTAGGAGTCACAGTGTGGAATGGATTAGCAGGGTCTGGTGCAGGGTAACCGCACGCCCCCTGGTGTTGAGCACCAGCGTTTGTGCGACCACATACCAGGACACTGATGCAGCTTCAGTAAAAAGAGTACTGGATACCAGAAGCCATCACGAGACTGATCCGCAACTTGGAACAGGATGTGACATTCACTGTAGTGGCTGTGCGCACTTTCGGCGTTCTCACCATGCTGCTGTTCGCCTGTCTGTGCTGCAGCGTAAGTTTGGACTTCCCGCTCACTGCCTCATATGCGACGTGCCCACAAGCTGGAACTCCACCTTGCACATGCTGGAGAGACTGTTTGAGCAGCAGCAGGCGATAGTGGAGTTTCAGCTGCAGCACGCACGGGTCAGTGGCTCTGCACCAGACTTCCCTCCAATTGATCAGACTTAAAGGATTTCAAGTGGACTCATTACAATTACAGGGCCTCTAAAGAGTCTTGTATTGTTATTTGTCGTCACTACTTTCCCACGTCGGGAGTGGGTCATTTGCGCGCCTGCTGCCTTTCTTGCATGTGGTAGCCATTTCTCAGGGTCCCTGTACTGAATGGAACCCTGATTCCCCGTTACCCATGGTCACCATGGTAGGCGCAGTCAGTGGCATCGAAAGTTGATATGGATTGACATACGAATGCGTCGTCGCCTTCTTGCCTGATTCCCCCTTTTCTCCATGCACCAGGAGTTGAGCATTTCTCCATGCATCAGGACTGCAAGAAATGCATCACAGGCTGCAAATGTTTCTTTTTTTTATATGTCCCAATATTTTGGGGGTTACCCCAATTAAAATAAAAAAAATATATATAAAAAACAGTGTTGGCTACCTCTCCTCTTCCACCTACACCGCCACGTAGTAATTCGCTATTCTTATGAAAATGATGGACCCCAAACATTTGTTTTGATTTGTTTTTAGCTCGTATCAGTTTGGAAATAATTTGGAAATTTGGATCTTCATCTAAAAAAATTTGTCCGATATTAGTTTGTGTATTGTGTACAGAACCACAACTCACCAAAATAGGTGTTTGTATTATAAAATGGGTTAGTGCCTGGTAGATTTACTGCTGTAACCTTATTGTGTTTAATGAAGACACACTGCACAGCACACACTGGACTGAACACAGTAAAAAAACCTTAAAATGTTTTTTTTTTTTCTTCAAACTGTTAAAGGATCACTATAGGGTCAGGAACACAACCATGTATTACTGACCCTATAGTGCTAAAGCCACCATTTAGGTGGCTTGCCCCCCCCCCCCCTTAAAAGCAATAAAACTCACCTTATTTCCAGCGCCGGGTGGGTCTGCCGGTGCTGGCCCCGCTCCTTAGTGACATCATCAGAATTTCCCATGGGGAAATCATTGGATAGGATAAAATCAGCAAGGGGCTTGGCCAAACACCATTTTGGCCAATCAGCACCTCTTCATAGAGATGAATTGAATCAATGCATCTCTGTGAGGAAAATTCAGCGTCCCCATGCAGAGTGTGGAGACGCTGAACAGCAGTGCAGGACTAAGCCAGGAAGTACCTCCAGTGGCCATCTGAGGAGTGGCCACTTGGAGGTGTTCCTAGCTCCTATGTAAACCATTCCTCTGAAAAGGTAGTATTTGTATAAAAATGCTTGCATATAATGGTTATACTCACCAGAACAACTACAGTAAGCTGTAGTTGTTCTGGTGACTATAGTGTCCATTTAATATTTAAAAAAAAACTGTTAACAATTCTTAATTTTATAGCATGACATGAGGCTTCATATTTGCTTAAGACTCTGTCAGGGTTTCTTTGCTGTTTTAAACAGCAACCCTTCCTTTTTCAGTGTCTGAGTTTTCAGCTGAGATTAACGATCAGATCCTTCAGCATGTTGCCACGGTTACTCACCTGAGAATAGTAATCAACCCTGCTGCTAATCAGTACAGCCTATTTAACCCCTTAACGACCGAGGACGGTTCAGGACCGTCATCGGCATTTTTGCGTTGCCAACCGATGACGGTCCTGAACCGTCCTAACAGTCTGAGTTACTTACCTGATCGCCGTCGTTCCCCCGGCGGCGATCAGCGTGGCTCCCGGTGTGGGGAGACTGCCTGCAGCCCAGACAGTCTCCCCACACTGAATTAGGACCCCTGTGGCCATGTGATCGCTTAACACAGCGATCACATGGTCACAATAGGTGTCCATGTGTCTGCCTGCAGGGGGGCTGTCTGTGCTGACAGGCAGTCTCCCTGCTAGTGTAAAATAAAAAATAAAAAAATAAAGTTAGTGTTAATAAAAAAATAAAAAATAAATTATATATGTGTATATATAATGCCATACTAAGTGTATTTTTATATTAATATATACTTATATTAATATAAAAATACACTTATAATTAAATTACACATGTGTATATATATAATATATATATAATAACTATATATATTGTATATATATATTATTATAAAATATAAATAATAAGTAATTTAAATTAAATAAAAATGTTTTTAAATAATAATAAAAATTTTAAAAAAATTATATATCTATATGAAATTTTATTCTAACTGTATTTTAAAATTAATATATATATATTTATATCAAAATACACTTAGAATGAATTTGTATATATATCTATGTATATATAAATAAATAAAAATAATACAAAATATACATATGTCCATATACAAAATTACATAAATAATTATATAAATATACACGTAGACTTCAAATATATAAATATGCATATATATTTAAATTCTACGTGCGTATTTATGTAATATTTTTACATAATTCAGTAATTTTATTGATTGCAATTTGAGGGACCTGCCTGCCAACCCAGGCCGAAATTCCAGAGAATTTAATTTGCTAGCACTGTATTTTACCCTGTAACGTTCTACGACACCCTAAAACCTGTACATGGGGGGTACTGTTTTACTCGGGAGACTTCGCTGAACACAAATATTAGTGATTCAAAACAGTAAAACATATCACAGCGATGATATTGTCAGTGAAAGTTACTTTTTTTGCATTTTTCACACACAAACAGCACTTTTACTGATGATATAATTGTTGTGATACGTTTTCCAGTTTTTAAACACTAATATTTGTGTTCAGCGATGTCTCCCGAGTAAAACAGTACCCCCCATGTACAGGTTTTATAGCATTTTTGAAAGTTACAAGGTCAAATATATGGGTCAAATATTTTACATTGAAAATGGCCAGGTTGGTTACGTTGCCTTTGAGAGCGTATGGTAGCCCAGGAATGAGAATTACCCCCATGATGGCATACCATTTGCAAAAGAAGACAACCCAAGGTATTGCAAATGGGGTATGTCCAGTCTTTTTTAGTAACCACTTGGTCACAAACACTGGCCAAAATTAGCGTTCAATTTAGTTTTTTTACTTTTTCACACACAAACAAATATGAATGCTTACTTTGGCCAGTGTTTTCGACTAAGTGGCTACTAAAAAAGACTGGACATACCCCATATTGAATACCCTGGGTTGTCTACTTTAAAAAAAATATGTACATGTTGGGTGTTATTCAGAGATTTATGACAGATAATAGTGTTACAATGTCACTATTGATAAATTTAAAAAATGTATGTTTTGAAACTGCAATATCCTACTTGTACCTATAGCCCTATAACATGCAAAAAAAAGCAAAAAAGCACGTAAACACTGGGTATTTTTAAACTCAGGACAAATTTTGTTATCTCTTTAGCAGTTTTTTTCATTCACTTTTGTAGATGAGTAAAAGATTTTTCAAGTAAAAGTAAAAAAACATGTATTTTTTTCAATTTTTCATCATATTTATTTATTTATTTTTTTAAATTAAAATACATGAGATTTTATAAATAATGGTATGTAAAGAAAGCCCCTTTTGTCCTGAAAAAACAATATATAATTTGTATGGGAACAGTAAATGAGAGAGCAGAAAATTACAGCCAAACACAAACACCACAAAAGTGTAAAAATATGCCTGGTCGCAAATGTACAACATCGCAAAAACAGTCCAGTCCTTAAGGGGTTAAGCAGCAAATCCCAATACCTCCTTGCCCTTGCGTGGTTTCCTGTTCCCCAGAAGTCTCCTTGTTCATGTGTTTTCTGTTTGTTCCTAGTTCCTGACTCTGGCCTTGTTCCTGACTCTCTGTTCTCCTGATCCTGGCTCGTCTGACTACCCGCTCTAGTGACTGACTCCTGCTTGCCTCCTGGACTTTGCTTTTGGTTATTTCTTTGTTATGTACTAATAAAGGTGTTTTTGCATCTAGTTCTGTCTCTGTCTGGTTCCTGGTCCCTAACATTACGCAAGGGCCATGAATACAGATGGTACAGGCAATACACCTATACCTAACCTATTTACTCGGTGGGACCAGCAGAACCACCATTTGGACCAGTATGCTCATCTGGATCCAGCACCCGTCAGCCTGTGATTGTGGCCGCCTCTGCCTCACTTCCTGTTCTAGCACCGGTTGCAGCCTCCAAACCTGTTGCTGCTAGAGGAATGACTGGGTCTGTCCCGCTCCCTCAGTATTTTGGGGGCAGGCAACCCAGCACAGTGCAAATAATTTGTAAATCAGGTTAAAGGATACCTTGAAATGCTTCCCCAGACATTTTCTACAGACAGAGACAAAGTCCAGTTCATGATTTCTTTGCTGTGTGAAAAAGCCCTAGCTTGGGCAAAACCTCTCTGGGAGACAGAGAGGCCCATTATTTACAATTACCCTCAATTTGTTGTGTCCTTTAAAAGGGTTTTTGATATTCCAGCTCGCTCCATCCCTACTGCCAAACAACTCATGTCTAATGCTCAGGGCACAAGAACTATTGTGGAGTATGCCAGTGAATTCCATACCATGGCAGCAGAGGATGGCTGGAACAACGAGACTCTCGTGGCTGCCTTTGCACAGGGGCTCTCCGATGTTATTAAAAATGAGATTGCATCCAGAGATATCAGACTCTGAGAGAGATCCTCATCCAGGGAGCGCCTGCGGAGGCCTCCTGTATATTTATTTGGCACAGAGCTTTTCTTGCCCACCCAAACCTCCCTCACCTCCCATGCCTCCTGGTCCTGAGCCCTCTGTCAGTGTGGAGCCGAGGTGGTTAGGTTTCTCACGTCTCTCTGTCGAGGAGAGAGCCTTTAAGAGGAGGGAGAGCCTGTGCCTATACTGTGGACACCAGGGTCACATGTTAAAGTTCTGCCCGATTCGTCCGGCAAAGGGCCCACACCCAAGATACTGTCAAGGGCAGATCTTGGGTGGTCTTTCTGCAGACCCAGAGATATATGAGGACAAACCCTTGGTGCCTATTATCCTCTCTTGGCCTGATTCATCCATTAAAACCCAGGCATTGCTTGATTCTGGGGCCGCAGGCTCGTTTATAGACTGTGCATTTGCATCGGCGCATTCTATACCCTTACAGCCTCGCAACTCTCCACTAGCTTTCAAAGCCATCGATGGCAGACCAATACAGACAAACCATGTGACCCAGGAGACCGTGCCCATATCTCTGGCTGTAGGGGCACTACATCATGAGACGATCCAATTGCAGGTCATTTCCTCTCCATATTACCAGGTTGTTTTGGGATACCCTTGGCTACAGAAGCATAACCCCACAATTGATTGGCGCAAATCTGAGATATTATCTTGGTCCCAGCAATGCACATTTTCTTGTCTCCAGAAACCGGTCAAAGTTTTGGGCACATTTTCTGCCTCTTCCTTACCCGCTGAGTACCAAGAATTCCAAGATTTATTTGACAAGGGTCAAGCCAGCGTTCTGCCGCCACACCGTCCATATGACTGTGGTATCGAACTCCAACCTGGTGCCATTCCTCCCCATGGCCGGATTTACCCGCTGTCTGTAGCAGAGAATCGAGCCATGGAGGAGTATGTTACTGATGTGTTGTCAAAGGGAT